TTTCATTACATATGAATATAATTAAATTTATGATGTACGTGCATGCATGATTCTTAAAATTTACTTTTAATTTAATATACAATTTTTTATAAATAATTTTGATTTTTTTTTTTGATTTTAAATGTAATATCTATATTTAAAACAATTAAACCATATGCATGAGACTTTTAACAATTTAAATCATGTATTATCAATTTTATTTATAAATTGATATTTTACAAAAAATAATAATAATTAATCCTTTTAATATTCTAATCATACCCATACATATATGTATATTTATTTATATATTAAAAAACTCACTGTACCTAAAGTACACTAGTTTTTTTATTTAAAAGAATCAAGATCTTCATTTTTTAAAGAGGCAAACTCATCAAGAAAATAAGACTTTCCTCCTCCTGATGCAAATTGAAGTGCGAAAAGAGGATAGAATATTCTATCGTTTAAATCCAATTTATTATCTCTTGCGAGTTGAACTTTAAAATACTGGTCCAAAATATATTTATATGCCTCATAAAATGACTCTTCTTGGCCTTTTCTTTCAAGCTTATTTAAATTAGCGCAAAGTTTATGTGGTTTACTGAAATCATCCTTAAGTCCCTTTTGTTTCAATAAATATTCCACTATAGATTCGGGAGTAGATCTGGAAGCAAAACCTTTAGATTTGCATGAAAGCATGAAAGTAACAAGAAATATCAGTACAACATAATGCTTGCAACGATAATGTATGGTTCTATTCACCATGTAATTACATACCTGTTAGTCTTTCTTTTTTCAAGTTTTGACTTATATTTTCTTCGCCTAAGTTAAACTCTTCCGTCTTCCTTTTGCCTGATCGAATGAAAAATAAGAGGTGAGATAACGCAAATTTCTTGTTCGAGAAGTAAAACATTGAGACACTTACCAGTAGTAGAAATGAGGGCTACAAAGATATGAAATATAATTAAAAAAAGAATATGATACAGTGCAAGGTTAAAAATTAAATAAAGGTATTTTTTTCAACTGTAAATTTCAATAAAACATTGAGAGACACTTACCAGTAACAGGGATGATGGCAATAATGTGGATGTTAGTCACTATAAAATTTTTATTATTTAATTCATCTTGAAAATATTCTTCAAACAATTCTTGAAATTCCATTTCTTTTCCATCAAGTTCTTGTACAATGTCTTCTTCGGTAGAAATATTTTTTTCTTTGATCTCTTTTTTCTTGACATTAACTTTCCAGAGTTTCAGTTTGTGCATGACAGTTTCATCAATCTCATTCCTAATACAGATATAATTCAAGATACTTCCAGACTTGAAAATGTTAAGCTTATATATATGTTTGCCAAGTGTGATGTATCTTGTGCCTTCATGATTGTAAATTTCAATTGCAAAAGTGTCAGAAGAGCCTAGAACGTAACAATTGAACGTGAACAAATGTAAGTTAAAAAGAAGTAAGTTAAAAAAAGTTGAAAGAGTTTTTTTGAGGGTATATATATTTGTAAAACCTCATCATGACTGATAAAATAGACTCGGTGGCTTATTATAAGTTTAAAGAAATGATAGCATGAAAAAATTCTCATGAGTAATTATCACGAGTATTTATTAATTATTTATTAATTACTATTACGCAATTTTTCGGTCATACAGTTGACTATATATATTTGACTAAAAAAAAATAAAGCGCAGTAACTCACTCATATTTTCAATCTAAAACCGTTACGTTGAAGTAGTTTGAAGGAAATATTTGCGAGAAATTATTAACAACATTAAAGCCTGAATTATATAATACGCAATTAAGGTATGAATGTGCAAATTAATGACCATTTTTTATATAGTTTTCTAAGGACCTTACTAATACCTTACTAGATCACAGAACGCAAACAACATAAAATTTTGGCAGGACTTTACGTATCTTGGAGAAAATCATATAAAAGTGAATGGGTTGCTCTACCAAAAAAGAAGATCAATGGAAAATATGTGACAAATATACAAACATGGACATGCAATTGTCCATCTTATTTATTAAGCCGTTTCTTTATATGCAAACATCTTGTGCAACAGTCTCAATTAAAACTGATCCTCAGTTTTTTCGAGATGTTCAAAGACAGGGTAAATATCCATTTTTAATTCATCCTAATATTTCTAATGCTAATACACCAGATATAACTATTGATAATTTATCTGAATTAACAAGTAATATATTTAAGGGTATGTTCTTAACATTAATAATATTTTTTTTTTACATTCACATATTCAATAATTAATATTATATACTTAAATACATTCAAGATAATACTTTAAAGGATATTACTAATGTGACAGATAAAGAAAATAATGATAGTTCAAATAAATTTATGATGTTAAAGAAATTATAGATGAGCAAGAAATGTTAGAAAATCGACAATGGATTCAAGCTGTTGATAATGGATTTAATGGTATTATAAAAATTATTAAAGATGTAAAAACATATCGGAATAGAACAACAAACCCACGAACCTGGAAAGACCATAACAATACTACCATGTTTTTGGGACCGGTAAATATATTTAAACTGATAGTTTAATTATTGTTTGATTTATTAATTTATCCTAAAATTAACTTCTTTATTAGTAGTAATTAAATTTTTTTCTTTGGTGTATTCAAGTATTTGGAAAATATACAGTATAAAATCGAAATAAAGTCAAAATTGTGGTTTTTTACCTTTTCACCTCTTTAGATTTAAAGTGTTCAGATATGTAGAGGAAATTATTTGAAAATAAATACGTTTTATTAAAATTATTAGACTTTATTATTACGTTAATTACATTATTAAAATATAATAAATAATTAAAAACAATAAAAATACTATATTTTATATTTTCATTACTTAAATACTGCATTGACGAAAATTTTCTCTTAGGTAAATTATTAACACCATTATAATGTTTAAATGAAAAACAAAAATAAATTTGGAATTCAATTTGCTGATCAGATTAGATTTGGTATGAAAATTTGTTGATCCTATTTTTGGTATTAGCAATTTGATCGGCCAATGTTAGTTTGTCATTATCAAAATATGGGCATGATCTGCACAATTTTTTTCCGGAAGTATTATAGTACTTATTAATAGTACTAGACAGGACAGGACAAGACAAGACAGGACAGGACAGGACAGGACAGGACAGGACAGGGACAGAATTCTTAAACCACAATTTTGTGATTTAGAGCTTCCTGTGGTACTTTTATGTCATATTAAGTTTAACCATCAAATTGTAGGTTTTTTAATTTTGTTGATCATTTTTATTCACTAAATTTAAAAAAAAACACTTCAACCGCAAATTCACAATTCATTATAACACAAAAAAAAAAATTTTTTATTTTTTAAAGAATGTTGTGTTAACATGTAATAAGTGATTAATAAAAAAATATTTTGAAACATTTTTTAATTATTTTAACAAAAAAAATGTTGCGAAAACATTTTTTATTAATAAAAAAAACAGTTTCGCAACATTTTTTAATTGTTTTAATAGAAAACATTGCGAAACTGTTTCTTTAATAATAATTTTATAAAAAAAATGGTTTTCACAAACGTTTTTAATTATTTTAACAAAAAACGTCGCAAAAACGTTTTTTATTAGGTCCATCACTCCTTTCGTCTCTCTTCAACTTTCCATTACTCCCTTTCGTCTCCCATCATCACTCCTCTTCATCTTCCCATTACTCCTTTTCGTCTCCCATCAATCTTTTTCGTCTCCCATCACTCTTTTTCGTCTCCCATCACTCTTTTTCGTCTCCCATCACTCTTTTTCGTCTCCCATCACTCCTTTCGTCTCCCATCGTTCTTTTTCGTCTCCCATCACTCCTTTCGTC